TCTCTCTCTCTCTCTCTCTCTCTCTCTCTCTCTCTCTCTCTCTCTCTCTCTCTCTCTCTCTCTCTCTCTCTCTCTCTCTCTCTCTCTCTATCTCCGTCTCTGTGAATGTTAGTTGATATTCTCGAAAGCCCTATCCATTTTATTCTGTTTTCTCATTTACTTGGGCTTTTACTGACTGATGTGTACCCTCAAAGAAGCCTCCGAGCGATTCTTCCTGGGAGACAAGAAAGAAAGACAAAGAGATGTAAAGCACTTCTAAATCTGGATGCTACTCTTTTAGAAGCACAGCCCAACTTGTTATTTTTCCAAAATTACTTTTACACGTCTGATTATGTGTAATTTGCATATTCACTCACACTGTTCATTTCGAGAAGAATGTTTCTCGATTCGAGACGCAAGATTATCCTCCTGATGAATGAGAAATTATACGAATAATGATAGGCGCAGTAGAAAATTGACTACGAAGTATGAAGAAACAAAGCTGGAAAAAATCAAATAAGTAGCATAGCATAAGGCACGTCCATAAATACGCGGGAGCCATTGGATCTCCAGAAATAGATCGAAGCACATTGGAAGGCTGAATTCTCCTGAAAGACGCTTAGACAAAGAAATACATAGGTAGGAACGCAAGGAGCAGTACGAGTGTTTTAACTGAGTAGTTCTCATTGATAGTCTCTGAGTAATTCAGCCTTTTAAATACGATTAAGAGTTCACAGTACTTTTGCCAGGAGTCATGAACAGAGTTGTTTTTTCTTCCAAAGCAGGCAATTATACATATCTCCAGACTATCTGCCAGTTCCAGTAAAACTTGGCAAAGAAGGATATCGTGATCTTCGTTGAGATTTCGTGCAACGCTTCGATTTTCCAGTTTATCGGTTACCCCCTTAGCTCTCCGGCTTTCTCACTTCCACGTTCTTCTTTTTCTCTCAACTATTCCATAAGTTCTACCACGAATTTCCGCGAAAGATAGTCATAATTTTACGTCAGTTACATCTATATATGTTGGATAAAACTCGAGGAAAGTATATGCAAAAAATCAATCAAAAAAACGTTAAGGGAGGTTAAAAAGAAGATTTAAAGGCGATCGATGTGAGGTTATCGCTCGGACCCTGGAGACAAGACAACAATGTATATAGATGAACCAAGTCGTCCTCTCGGGGGCTGTATAAACAGCCGTTACAAATATGTCCTCCGTCTCGTCTCGTCGTCGCTCGCGTGACGTCTTTATTGCATGGTCACACATTCTTTTTTTCACTCCTATTTCGACGAGCTAGTGAATGTGAAAATGAATGATGGATTTTTTTATTGAGTATCTGTCAATGGTTCTGTTGAAAATTGGATTGTATAATTTTTATCACCTCTCTCGATGATTGTTCTTCCAAGTGAAGATCTAATGTTTCAATTATGTACATAACTAAATACTTGACGGGGGGCCGAAAACAACAGCACGTGCATCAAGGGTAAAAAAGACTCCCGCCGTGCAGAAATCCAAAGGATTTTTTTCCTCCTCATTCAACTGAAAAATTAGCAAAGTGTGTGAGTGCGCCCGCGCCAGCACATCTGTAGACACAGTGGATCATGGCCAAGATGACGAAAGCGGATGAGCGCGTGCAGGATCGTGCCTGTTTACATACCACGTGTGTGATAACCGTTTGTGAATGAATGAAGCTCATTGTAATTATTACACAAATGCATTCATTTTAATGAGTACTAACGGATTATTGCAATGTTTTGTTATTTGCAGGTGAATGCCTCCGGTGTTTTTGAACTGCGACTAAAGTCATTTGCCAATGAATATGGCAAGGATAATACTGGAGAGTGTTGCTCCGGTAGTAAATCGAAAACAGGAGAGTGCACTGGTGTCTGCAAGACAAGATTCCGAGTGTGTTTAAAACAGTATCAAGCGAAAATTGATACAACATCACCGTGTACTTATGGTGATGTTGTAACACCGGTACTAGGTGGTAATGTTGTAAATCTCAGTCCGGATATCGCTCTGCCGAGCTTCACAAATCCCATCAGATTTCCATTTAACTTCTCCTGGCCGGTAAGTGAATTTTAATCATAATCACTGAACAATGTCACATTTATGTAATTACGAAATCATTTTTTTGCCTGATAATTGCGACAGAGAGACAATAGTTTTTGATGGCAGATGGCATGGTCATTGAGAAGTAAAATGTAAAGGCACTTGTTTTTATCCCAACAATGCTGCACATGATCTCGTCTATGGAACGGCAGATGGGATGCTCCTTTTGTGACCCCGACTAAGGCTAGAATAGATTTCGCTCTCACTTTTCTTCACCCGTCACACCCACTTCCCCTATCTATCTTCCATTATTTCTGCAGAAACCCAGTCAAATTAACTCAACCCATATGGTGCTATTTTGCTCATAGGTCTGAATAATTGTCTGCATTAGGTTTTTGCTTTATTCCCCCTTCGTTTATCTGATATTATAGACAACGTTTACCAAGAACCATCTCCTCTTGTTCTCCTTCTTCAGTTTGATACTTCAAGTTGGTGAAAAAAATATAGACCAAAAATTTTTCGATGTGAAACGAGACAGAGTTGATGGTTGATGGGTATAAAAAAAAGATGGACGAAGGAGGGAGATGATGGAGACTACTACACACTCCTTCTCGGAAGCGATGTTGAGTAGACTAGAAAATCCTGCGCCACATGGTCTTTTCAGTTTAGTTTCGCTTGGGATGAAGTAGCATTCGAGAAGGAGGGATATATAACGTGTGCGATGGTGTTATTCGTGAGGAAACCTGCTTCTCCCAGAGTGTACACACTCGACGAGATTATATAGTGAACGAGAAAACAGATTATCTTGCCATTTTCATAGGTGTTTCGCCCGTTTTTTTCTCCCTTTTGTTTCTTCTCCATATTCCAAAAATCGGGTCTTCAGACGAGAAAATTATAATGAGTCCATAATTTTTTAACAAATACTTCCTCCCATTGACGTTCTCCTCCATCCTCCTGCCTCGTTTTTTAGTATAGAACAGTTTCGGCTCTCACGGATTAATCAGGTGAAATGCAAGAGAAATAATAAAAAATTGAGCAAGTGAGACAGGGATTTCAGGGGATACCCATGTATTTCTCTTTTTTTTTTCTTTCATACAAACGGATGAATGGCCGACGTGGAGAAGTCTTGTGACTCTGTTCGCAAAACACTTAGCATAAATTATCGGGTAGACCGCGTGCCCATGTATTTTTAGAGACTCCAAACCTCCGAACCGCGAAACTCACCCAAACATTTTTTCTGCCTTTTCATCTGTTTCTGTTTTATTATCCTTGAAATGTACTTTATTATTCCGGTGATGCAAAGGCCAGATCTCAAGGTCACTAAATCTGTATATTTTTTCTATTTGAAGTTTGTTTATTTATGTATTATTGGAGAAGGTCTAGGGAAAGAGGAGAAAATATGAAGAAGGAAAGACAAAACATGTGATAGGTCACTGTAAGAACTTTTACTTGAACTACTCGTTTCCACCTTACTATACCATCAATATTTTGTACTCGTCTGGTCTCGGTTGACCGTTTCGCGTGGATTAATACCCTCGTGCATATGTATGTATAAAAGCATGAAGCAGAGGTTTGCAGATGCTGACCATGTATTCAAGTTACGTAGCCGTATGCATGTGTGTTGTTGAGCGAAGAAAAGACGGAGTTGAGGACGAGAGCAAGACAGCCAGAGAAGGTGGAGGTATGCCGGCCACAACCCGTGGGAACCGACTCCTGAGTGAGCTGCGTGCTCCCTCTCACTCTCTTGTTCTCCATCGCTTCCCTTCTCTTCTACTTGCTTGCTTTCTTTTCGTACCTCTTTATCTCTCCAACGTTCGTATTTCATTCCTATGCTCCTTCTCTACCTCCTCTTTTACTTTTCATTCGTTTCGTCGACGCTCTAACCCCCATAGTTCTTCTACCAACCCCGCCTCCTCTTTTTCCCTCTTCTTTCACTTTTTCTCTCACGTTCATTCCAATATAAAACTTCCAACGTCCACTCGTTTCCATTAAACAAAGAGAGTTTATATAAACGCGTGATATATACATGTATAGATGTCTCTCTATGTATGTACATATAGTATATGCACATATATATACATATACATATGTGGAGGTTTAAAGGATACACCAAGTGAGAAGGATTGCCGAAACACATCCAACATTGTTTCCCTTGTGAAATGTCGGTCTACGGTTTTTACCATTTCGATGGGTGTTTGGGATTTTTTAAATTTTACTTTTATTCGTCCATTTCATTTGACTCCTTCATTTTTTGTTTGTCGGCTTCAATTCCAATCTCGGTTATAAATTTGTGGAGGACGATCACGGTGGCATTTATCTCTTCCTTGGTAATTCATCTTACATTTTGTTCTTCAACCTTTCGAACGGAAAAAGGAAAACAATTCGCATGTGATATTTATTTATAAGCAGTTTTTTCCAGTCTCCCTTCGTGGGTCCTAAAAAAACGTATTTGTCTCGATTCGTCTAAATTTGCGTGGCAATTACCATAGAAAAAATAACTCTATTCCACTTCCCCATTTGTTGTCATCACATGCATGCCGTTTTTCGTGCCTCCAGACCCACGAGCGGATATAAACATTAATTATTCAGTATACGTAACGGGGCCGTGTGTATGCATGTCGTTGACGTTTTAATAAATGAATACAAACAAAAAAAAATGTGAAAAAAAATCATAAAATAGTCGAACATGATATGTTCTGATGGTGTTACAACTATCAAGGGAAATATGATACGATGTTATTTCTGTCAAAATATCCGATAATTTCTCCAACTTTCTTCGCTGTCATTTATCAGAAGAACATAGTGAAGAAAGTTTTTCTCAAGGTAACCCGTTCAGGTCTAGAGTTGGACTTAACGACTGTAACACGTGTATATGTTCATAGCACGCGTCGTCTAACCTCCCCCCTTATCTGTTTTTTTTTCATATACCTACCACAGCGATGATTTATGTGACGCGTTACGGAAGTTGCTGTTCAACGATCCAATCCAGCTCTGTATTCGTCCATTTCCGTTGCCCTTACCTTTGATATTGCCATGATTTGCGACTCGTTAATTATTGGAAGCTATGGGATAAGGGAAACAGAAAATAGTACATTAGAGTACAAGGGCACAAATTTCGTTTTCAACGAATGTGTAGTTTACAGGCCGAGCCGAAGGCGAGGTCGTGCAGAAGAAGTCGAGTTTTGAGCAGGCTGCGCGAAGCGCAGCGTGCGATAAATTCGACTTGTTGCACGGCGCGACATAAAATAACTTTACACCAAAACACAAAGTTTGAGTTGGAGTTGAGCATCTATTATAGTGGTCCTCTCGTCACGATTTTTGGGCACAGACTCACCTTTGACAAAGGAGACCTCAAGTACCATGTGCTTCTTTCCATGGTGTCCTGTGACGTCATCTGTAGCATAGACAATTGCATAGAGAATGCACGCCGACACCACTTACACAAAGAGATAAATAGACCAAATTTGTTAAGAATTAAATGATTATTTTGCTCATTTCAATATTAATGAATACTTTTATCAGAGTTCTAGACGGCGCATACATTCCGTCCAACATAGAGTTTACAATTCCTTCACCTCCCCTCTTTTCACCCCTTCACTGACGCACACGCCAGGTGCACGCACGTTTAATATCGCTATTCTACTGTCATGACGGTGGTGGATAGAGCAAACTGTTGTGGCGTCGTTTAAGTTCGTAATTAATTGCGCAATTCTAGTGCACACGACCATGCCAGATGCCATCAGATATATATTGAAAATGTTCAATTAATTATTTATTATTTACGGGTGATATTGATTCACACACTAAACCATTATAACAATTTATTTTTCTCTCCCCAACAGGGCACATTCTCACTGATTGTAGAGGCGTATCACGAGGTTGAAAACATCACGGGCCATTCGCCTGGTAAGTTGAATTTTTCTCCTTTAGATTGGGGACTGTTTCTGGATTAGAGAGGATGTTGTCAGGGTTTGACTTTTTGACTTTTATATGTTCATTGAGAGTGAAGTACAACCGGGAAGGAAAATTTGATCGTGATAATATAAGCACAAGTGATTAATTCCTGCATCGAAGGTATATGATACTTCCAGAAGGGACTCACGCCAGGGATTTACCCTGGGGGCATGTGCGGGCCAGCTGGATTATATGTTAAAATGCGGTATATGGGTAGAGGGAGGGAGACAAGACAAAGACCAACCAAGAAGCCCCTTCCGGTCGTGTGCGACATTTACCAGATATACCTCTGTGTTAAAAAAAACTCCGGTACATTGCGCGTTGTTATCATCTTCACCTTTGAAGTAGTTTTCCTTTTCCGTTATTTCGCTGTATCTAGCCTGCTCTTACATAGCTATTTCTACTACCTTTCTCACTCCTCATTGCTTAACACGTATCGTCTTACGACTCATTCGACCTGTATTCAAACTCGTCCAAGTGCACACCAACGGAACCATCCTTCTGTAGATTAAAATAAGCATGTTGTAGGAAGAAGGTAGGGGATGGTGAAAATGACAAGTGTGAATGAAGCAGGATGGAGTGGGTACTCTTCAAGCCACTAGTGTTTCCTTCCTGTGTAACCGTATAGTATCTACCTCACGCACTGAGAGGGTAATGTGACACTCAACCCCATTGGATATATGGATGTATATATGCATATACGAGAATACGCATCTCAAACCTTTGTACTATTTCGCTACGACAAGGCAAAGAGATTTTTTCTTTTCGTACCTGTTATGTCTAACCTCAATAAATTTTTTTAACACTATAAATGAAGCGCATAACATCAGTCTATGGAAGACAATTAAAGGAATGGTCATGTTCTTTTGAAATTTTACTCGCCTATCCATTTTCGTTTTTTTTTCACCGCGCTTTTTGCAGAGAAAAAGACCAAAACGGTTTCTCAAGTGCTTCCGTAGAATATCCATGGCAATATACATACAACCGGGTTTCTAGGAGAACGTTTCGGTAGGGTTTTTACGTCTAGAATGAGAAGACGAAGAATAAAAGGAAGAAAAATACTGGCACGCAACCATCACCACGAAACGCGGCCCTTCATTGCTGGGCTTACTGTTCAGATGCTGGTTCGCTTCCTTTCTCACAATCGTTTTCAGACCCATTTCTCTTCTCTTCTTCATCCCCACCGGGTTTCTTTTATCTCTTTTGCTACGTTTTTTATTTTCTACCTGCGTTTTGTACAACACACCTGCGAAACCCAAAGGTCGAAAAAAATCCTCCTATTTTTGGTATTAGTTTGGCTTTTGAGAATTAATAGAGTGGTAGAATCACGCGATAAAAATTATCTCCTCCCAGATTTTTTTCCATGTTTTTTTCATTGCTTCTAAAATCACACCGGTTCAGGATGGCAGACGGGGAGCCCCATTTCTGGACGACCAGACGTGTCCCGATTCATTTTGATTAATCTAATGATATACAATGTCAATGATTGATTCTGATAATAAGCCGATGTTCTGTGAAAGATTGTATTAATTCTGCTTTCCCTTGTGCGAAATAAGAGACTCAACTCCGGCGATAAACACCAGTGAAAGAATTTTTAACAAATGTCTTTTGAACGCCGAAATTTATCTCGCATTTACCTCAAGTGAAAAATATGAAGTTGGAGAAAATTTTCGAAACATACCCTATAGTTTCAACGCACTTGAAAATTAACTTCTGAATATTCTTCACTTTTATACGATCATTCACCTCGAACGGGCGTCTTACTGATACTCTTCTCGAAACCGCGTCGAGACGACCGTGAGAGCCAAATCAAGTAGCGCCAGGCGCATCATCTGCCGATGCCGGTATAACTCTTGAGTGGCGCTCTCCTCCGTGCCCCCTCCCCCCCACGCTTTACCCCTTTTACGCACAGACTGCCGTTTTCGTAGGCCATGCCACTTCCCTTCTGGGAACAAAAATACGCAAGGAGGATTGGCTTGAGCGTTCAAGAAAAAGAGAAGACTTTAAGTATCTTCGGGCACGCTATCCGGACGAAAACTGCCCACTACGGATCTTTCGCTCCACACTTCCCCACTGTTCTCTCCTCTAGGTTTTCCATTTGGATAGTACTTCACGCGATAACAGGGGACAATCATTTTCAATACTAGAAGAAACACACATGGGATAACCTGGAGTGACAGTTCAAATAGTGACTCTAATTTTATAATCTTTCCAATCGACTCCCACTATTGAAGAAAAAATCGTAATTAAAAGGGATAACCACCAGGTTTTTGCGACATTATCATCTACCTCCCAATAAACGAAACGTCCTGATTAAAAGGAATAATGGCCTGTTAAACCTGCAAGTTGGACGGCCTCAAAAACATAAAACATAGAACCTTTTCAATGCTACACTAAGAGAAAAATCGACATAATATCACAAAAATCATTTCGTGAGCGAAAAACATCGCATGCATATTTGATCAATTTATGGTAGGTTTCAAACAACAAATCAGTGTTCTTCGGGCTAAGGAGGAAGTTACTGAATCAAGAGATGATGTCTTTTTTCGGAATGAGATAATATTCCTTCAAAGACAAGAATAGTTTGACAGAAGGAAAAGAAGATATTGCTTCCCTTCGAACTCAAAGCGATTGAGCGAAAGCGACGGTTAAATTTGTTTAATATCTGGAGGTTTCCCTCTGCATAAACTCTCTATTCGTTCAATATAAAAGTCTCTGATTCATGATTCCCTAAATCGAAACTTTTAATATTTTTAGTCATTTTCTCATCGTCTGAAACGAAAAAAACCGATTTCTGGTGGCAAGAAATTCTCACTTTATCATGAAATGTTCATGTTCATGTCAATGAATACTTCACCGAAATCGGACATTGCCTGATACATTATCCGGAATTCTTATCCCAAAAAATTTGTCCTCAGGAGATGAGATATTTGGCGCAAGAAATTAGTTTTGTGTATTATGACGATATTTCTCTCAGTGTACTGTCATATTCTCTCTTGATTTCGACTCTTACAAATGTTTCTTTTATCCCCCCAATATTCCTCAAAACTGATGTGAAAAAATGGTCCTTTTACTTTCCGCGGGGGAAGTGCATAACGGGCCTCTCTTTACCTGTTCCCTAAGGCCATAAAATGAGACGAGAAATGACGGTTAAAAAGATGGAGAAATAAGGTGAAGTGGATACATAAAATGGTTAAAAAAACAAAAAAACGTGATAAGGTAAAAAAGGGATGAAAGAATGTTTCTTTCCCAGAGTCTACGTAATGTACTCACTCTCGGTGTATATACTCTTCTTTCTGCCGGATGCGTACCGTCGGTGGAGTAGCAATAGCGGACGAGCGTCCGGTCTGGCCACGGTTGAGGCCGATGCACTTCGATCATCGGAGCTGGCCAGCAACTTCATCTTATTCAATGTATCATCATCAGTATGAATAACATTGCAACTTTTATTTGTTTCAGAAAAAGTGTTGATAAGGCGATACATGGATCAACGATGGTTGGACGTTGGCACTGATTGGACAGCAGCCGAGTATGCTGATGGTGGTACACGAGTAACCTTTGCATTCAGGGTTACTTGTAAGCCACACAATTATGGAAAGGGTTGTGAAAAAATATGTAACCCCCGCGATGACATCTTCGGGCATTACAGTTGCAGTCCAACAGGAGAGCGTGTATGTTTGTCTGGATGGAAAGGCGACTACTGTGCTACTCGTGAGTATTGAATTCAAATTTTTTTCATTTTCTATTCGCAGGTCGGTGCGGAATATTTATTGTCTCATCAGGTTCAGTCTTCATATTCTGTCTCATTCACTTGTTCATTTAATAAAACGAAGGAAAAAAGGAGATAATATAATTTATTTGTAAAATTTTCTTCTGTTCAGTCATCATTTTAAAACTGCACTCTTCCTATTAAAAAGAACAATAAAAAATTAATTGAATCCTTCCACCCTATTTGAATGGCAACAGTCCAGTCTATCCAACACTTTGTGTTTGATTGGGGGGAGGGGAATGATCGTTGGCTACACTTGCACGCAGGGATGTAACGGCAATTGTTCGAAATATCAGTCGACGAAGGGTTGAAAGTGAAATCGGGGGTGTAGCGTGGTTTATTCTTTTTCTCGGGATTATTTCGGTGTGTGATGGTAGGGTACCCTGTAGAGAAGGGGAAGAGGCAAAGAGCAAAAGCAGCTGCGACGCGCGAGCCCAGGGCCCAGGGCCCAGGGCTTGGCTTCGACAGCTGCCTCTGGTTCGGGTGCTTTAACCAAACAGCTGCGCCTGACTTTGCTCTCGACTACTTCTCCTTCATATCCATCTGTCCTTATTTTTCTTTACTATATGAGAAGACATACCTACATCATTGGTACCTGCTTTTTTCTAGAATTGTATACCTGCAAACCTATGCTCCTTTAACCTTGGTTTTTTTTCTCTTCCGTACTTTACGGGTACTGAATGAGCAGGTAAAGCATTCGTACCGTTTATTATTGGTCGATTCTGTGAAGGGTCGTATACACCCTCGCCACTGGCACAATTCAGAGGGACCTGTAGGACAAAGTAGAAAGCGACATTTGTGTGCCCCTCCGCGTAAAGTGACTGCGGAAAATCGATAGAATATGACCGTTAAAACTCGTCAATGGGGGAACATTTAAAAAGATGCATGTGTATGTCGTGGTCAGGTATACAGGAGCCGGAAATTCCGTTGAAGAACTTTTTCATGAAAATTCATTATTAACATTTTCGTTCATTTACCGGAAAAAGTGTAAAAATCGCATGAAAAAATAAATGGTGACAGGGAGAATGAATAATTATGTACCCAGTCTCAGTCTTGTTAATTCATTCTTCATATACATATATATTCTTTTTCATCTACCCGTTCATTTATTTATTTTTCGTTATTCGTTTTTTTTCTTCCTCTGAAGCAAAGTCGGTGAATTCTGCTAGGGTGCTATAGCCCTCTTTCTCTCCTCTCCCGGCGTATCTCTGTCTCAGCGCGGTATCAGGATCGGTGGAATCCCTGCGATTCGGCCATTCCTTTCGGCGTCGATCCAGGGAGTCAGAGACTATAAATAGCTCGTCGCTTATTCGCGGACGATGTGAGTTCTCCGTGGAGAAGTGCGAGAGAAAGAGAGAGAGTGAGTGAGTGAG